CGCAGGCTGAGGGAGGGCATCTGTTCAGTGTGACCTTGGAGCAGCAGATGGAGCGCGAGCACGGGGCTGTTAGGGTTTCTAGAAACAAGGGGGTCACACCGGAGGAGAGAGACAAATGACCAAAACAATGGTTTCCGTTTCTCTTCCTCCATCTCAGCACCTGGGTCCGCCACTTTAAGCAGCACGAGGTCTCTGGGTCCGAGGCGTAAAAGGCCCTGCCTGGGTGGCAGAGATGCAGGCCTCTACCTTGGGCAAGGTGAGGTCAAGGGCACCATTAGTTGAGAATGGCATGATTGGGGGAGGCTTGGCCATGGATTTCACCCTAAGACTTGAAGGAGGAAGAGGGGGCCCTGGACACTTCCCCTGAGCTGCATGCTGGGCCCTCCTCCTTTGGCCTCCCGCAGCCCACTAGACCCCATGTATGGCTGAGCGATCCAGTGAAATGACTGTTCGTCTGGGCCTCTGTCTCCCCATGTAGAGAAGGATGGGCTTAGACTAGGCCAGCAGCTAGAGGGTTGCAGGTGCATGCGGGGGAAACTGGCTGATGGGGCTATCCCTTCTCCTTTTCCATTGGAACCATTTTTTAAAGTGTACTATTTGGTGGCATTAAATATACTCACAATATTGTGAAACCCTCACAACTATTTCTAGAATCTTTCATCATCCCCAGCAGAAACTCTGTACTTATTATGCAATAATTTCCCCTCCTCCACCCCAACCCCTGGTAACCACTAATTTACTTTGTCATGAATTTGCCTATTCTAAGTACTGTGTATAAGTGGAAACATTTCCTTCTGTGACTGGCTTGTCTCACTGAGCATGATGTCTTCAAAATTCGTGAATGTAGTGTGTGTCACACCTTTGCTTTTTTTAGGGCTGCATACTACTCCGCCGAATGACTAGATCACATTTGCTTTCATTCATCTGCTGATGGACATGGGGGTTGTTTTCACCTTTTGGCTGTTGTGAACACTGCTTCCTTAAACATGGCCATCAAAATATCCACTTTCAATTCTTTTGGGTAAATACTTAAGGATAGAGTTGCTGGATCACCTGGTAATTGTATGTTTGGCTTTTTGAGAAAGAAGGCTCTCTTTTTATCGGTTTATATAAAGAGGAGAAGGGGATTGCATATGATTTCATTTGGAAAAATGGCTAACAAGCAAGAAACACCTTAAACTGGCTCAATCCTGGGGCCCCTCTGAAGCTAAAATCCTACATGGTTTGGAGGTTCCAAGGTTAAAAAGAGACAATTTAGGTATCTGGGAGGCTCTTGGCTGGGTGTGGGGCTCCGACCCAGATGGCTCATTATGAGATGCAGAGTGGGGACACTGAAGTGTGCGCCCCTTGCACCACATAGGCAGCCTGCAGCAGGAAGGTTAGTGCCGGCTGGGTGACAGAATCCATGGGCGAACAACGACTGCGTCACCTTAAGTCCCCAGTGCACGGTTCCTGTCAGTGCCTCTCCACATGCCACATGAGCAGGTTGATTCAGCCTCTGCGCTCACCTGAAGTGTTCAGCTAAGTTTTATCTGCACCCTGTGCTCGCCAGACAGGACCACCTTCAGCCCCCTGGAGACAGGAGGTGTTTCTGGGTAGAGGGACGAGCTGGGTGGGGCGGGAATCTGGTGAAGCACACATTGAATCAAGTCCAGTCTGCCCCGGGAGAGAAGGCCGTGCTCCCTGCTAGCAGCTTGCTGCCTGCCCGCACCTGCTGTCTGTCCGCTGGGCCACCTGTGTCTGTCCTCAGCCCAGCTGGGCAGTGGGTGGTTGGGGTGGAGGATGAGCTGTGCCAGGGGGAGGGTGGCAGGACCCTGGGGCAGGGCAGGGCAGGGCAGGGCCAGGAGCTGCATATAAATAGCCCCTGCCCAGATGGGAAGGCCTGGCAGTGCCCGGCATCCTCCCCCTCACCAGCTGCCCATCCCAGGCTGGTCCTTGCCTCCCTGGGGAGCCTGGCCACTGTCTCAGACCCCAAACGGAGGAACTTCCTCAGCGGAACCACTGAGGAGTCTTGTCCTGTGTGTAGGTGGGACCTCCGGATGCCTGGAGGCCTGGGGAGCAGGCCGAGGGGCCGCAAGGTCGGGGGAGGCCAGACTGGCCTTGGGAGAAGCACTGGCCCTTCATGCCTTCCCTTGAGAATCAGCAGGTACCTGTCACGTGCCAGGCCCTGTGTGTGTGTGTGTGTTCTGGAGCTGGTGTTGGGGAGACATCCTCTGTCCTCAGGGAATTCACACCGGCACAGCCAGATGAATCAAATCAGCCCAACACTTTGTGATAAGGAAGTTTGAATCGGGTAGAGGGAAAACCCAGCAGGAGGCACAGTCGCTTCTGTGACTGGGTGGGGGAGGGGGGCTCTAGTGGGGGTCGTGGCGCATGCCGGGGTGGGAAGGTGCCAGGCTGCAGCCCGCCGAGCAGGCCGAGCCATCTAATCAGAGCCACGCACATTTCGGTAGGAAGGACGGAGGAGAAAAGGGCCTGCTACGTGACCTCCCTGGGGAACGTGCACCCAGAATTCGGGACAGGGAGTTGTGGGGGGCGGTGGAATCTCAGACATGAGCAGTGAGTGGGACGGCCACTCAGGGCCCAGGGCTGCAGGCACGCCCCGGAGGGCCGCTATCCTGCAGAAACCCGCCCCCGGCGTGGCCTCCTCAGCGCCAACACCAGCCAGCAGAGCCAAGCCCTGTCCCCAGAGGCCCTGCTAATTCCCGGCAGGATGTCCAGGTCAGAGCTGGCGCCCTTGGGAGGGGCGCCCCGGAGTGGCCCTTCTGCCCTTGACCTTGGGAGGTACATGTCTGTGCGGCCCGCTCTGGTTGGGGGGTGGGGGGCTCCCAGAAAAGGGATCCTCTTGGTCTAAGGCATCCTTACCGCGATGGGTGGGAGGGCCTTTGAAAATGCTGGTGTTCTAGCCAGTCCCAGATGGAGGACAAAGAGGCCGTTGGCAGGGCCAGGGACGAAGTTCTCGACAGTGGCAGGAGCCTTCCCCCTAAGTTCCCACTGTGTCTCTTTCGCTGATGGAGAGGCCTGAGGGGTGGGGTGGGGATGTTGCTGGAGAGAGCTGGGAGGAAGCCCGGGAGCAGGCATACCTGGCAGCTGGCTCGGCTCCTAGATAAGGGCAGTGACCCAACTGCTCTGCGCCTCAGTTTCCTGTCTATAAAGTGGGGGTGACTACACCCAGCAGTAGTGAGCATTCAGTGAGATTACACAGTGACGGCCATGACAGTGTGTGGTGGCCTGCACTGCTGGCCAGTGGCTGCAGAGGACAGGACTCCATGGCTGGGGCTCAAGGGGACTGCGGTGCTCAGTGGGAGGGGACTGGCCAGCAGGCTGGGCATCTGGGGGGGGCAGGGAGGTGGCACCCTCTGCTGGGAGCTATTTGCAGTCTTCTGGCCCAACTTTCATCTCACTGGGTGAACAGAGCCTGGAATTTGGGGGCTTGGGACAGGTCTTCAGGTTGGGGGCGCCAGGGGAGTGGAGGCCAGGCCAAGGGATTGTGTGGGCACTGTCCGGCCAGTCCAAGGAGAGGGGAGGACAGGCCCTATGCTGTGGGCAAGGAGAAGGGCCCGGGGCAGGGGCACCCGCAATGCGGGTCTCTCTCTGCTGCAGGGAGGCAGCCACTCTCTGCCCCAGGGGTTCTGAGGTCAGTGCTTGTGGCCTGGGCTGGCGAGGTGACTGGCGAGGCGAAGCCGGCTGCGAAACGGTCTGCTTGATCCTCCTCCACTCATGGGTTGTCCCGAGGACTCTGAGCAAACCCAAGGAAAAGGCCCGGCCAGGCAGCAGCCAGTCATTCGGTTAGCCAGGGCTGAGGCACCCTCGGGAGGCCCTTCCTTCTCTGTAAAAGGACTCAGCCTCCAAGACCTAAAAATGTTTCCGCGCTACCTCTGAGCTCGCAGCTATGTGTCCAGTCCCTCCTCCCAGAACAAATAAACAAATGGGGAAATGGGGCCCACCTGTGCCACTGACGGTCCCCAGAGCCGCCTCCGGATCTGAAAGGCAGGTGTATGGCTCTGCTCACCCAGCGCAGAGAGCTTTTGTGGGCTTTTTTTCTGACTTGCCCCTGGGGTCTCTTCCGCTGTCTTTGTGTGGGGGGCTGTTCTGAGGTCATTGCCAAACCAGATGGGGCGTTGCTGGGTCTAGAGGGACAGGGCTGAGTCCCGCTCTCCCTTGCAGTGCGCTCTGTCCCTGCTCACGGCCGATGGCACTGGCCTTGAAGTCCACTGAGACCTCGGGTCATTTTCTCAGCTCTTCTACAAAATGCCATTTCTGCTGCTCCTGTTCCCCACCAAGGCCAGAGTGTTGCGTGGGGGAGCAGGAGCTGGGTCTTCTCCCTCCCGACCCTGAACTAAATGTGTGAGCTGGCGAGAGAGGAGGTGGCGCTCCAGAAACTTCCAGGGAGCTGCAGAGGTAGTCATGGAGGCCCTGGTGCACAGAGGTTGCAGGGTCTCCCAGACTTGGGGTGGACAGGCCACGCCCGAGGAGGAGGCCTCCAGCGCCGCAGGTGCTGCATGGACATGCATGCCAACACGCCTGGGCCGTGCGGCCAGCTCCTTGCTGGACTGAGCTTTCTTTGCCTTTCCTGAGCTGGGCTGGGATCCCGTGTTGGTTTGGGTCCTTCCTGTGGGTCCCAGCCCAACCTTGCCAATGCCTTGGAGAAACTGGCACAGAGTTTGGGAGGGACTTGACCTTGGTTCCTCGGTGCCCTCTTGCCAACTCCGGGTCCTTCGCACGCTATTGCATTGCCCTGGAATGTTTCTACAAGTTTTCTGCTGGCCCTCACACCCCTGCATCTGCCATGCCCACGTGCCATGCTGACTGCCTGGGGCCCGGCTCTGCCCTAGGAGGGGCAGCTCCAGAGGTCAAAGGTGGTGCCATCAGGGCCAGGGTTCACAGCCCGTGTGCCTTCCATGGCGCCGCCCACCCAGGGGCTCACGGATAGCACGGTGCCCGGTGGGCTGCATGCTGTGTGCCCGTGTGCAGTGCCATTACCCTCTGTGTGTCCGCAGGTCCCTGGCCCTGGGCCAGCAGTATACATCTTTGGGCTCACAGCCCCTGCTCTGCGGCTCCATCCCAGGCCTGGTCCCCAAGCAGCTACGTTTCTGCCGCAATTACATCGAAATCATGCCCAGCGTGGCCGAGGGCGTGAAGCTGGGCATCCAGGAGTGCCAGCACCAGTTCCGGGGCCGCCGCTGGAACTGCACCACCATAGACGACAGCCTGGCCATCTTTGGGCCCGTCCTTGACAAAGGTACTGTCTCCAGGGCAGGCAGGAGGTGGGAGGGCTGGCTGGGAGCCATGCGCTGCAGGAGGCTGACGCCTGACCTCAGGGTGCCTCCGGAGGGGCAGCTCCAGCTCCTCTTCCCTTTGAGCCCAGGCAAGTGGGGAGGAGGGAAAACTGGTCACAACGTGGCCTCCACAGAAAGTGGAGATTCTTCTCTGAATGACCAGACCGTCACTATGGCTGTCACGCCTTCTCAGGTGCTGCTTGGGGCGGGCAGCCTGGAGATGCTCTGGGATGGCCGAGGAGGGCTGGGAGGCTTTCTGGCAGGCCTTCCCTCCTGGCCTGCACAGCTGTGACCCCAGGCTTTGATGCGGGCATCTGTGACATTTCCCCAATGCTGTGTGAAGTGTGTGTGTGTGGGGGGGGGGGTCTTACCACCCCTAGGTCCTCCCACTGAGGAAATCCTGGAACTGAGAAAGCTGCCTGGCATTGGTGGCATGACATTGCTCCCCAGTGCTTCCATGAGAAGCTTCCACTGGTGCCCAGGCCCTGCCAGTTACCCAGACTGTGGCAGTGCCAGAAGATGGGCTGGTCTGGGAGCCTCCAGCCGCCATGCTGCCTGGGCGTCTGTGCCTCAAAGGGACCAGAGTCACACAGTTTCACACGAAGGCACCTGGAGAGAGGATGGAGGGGGCGGGGCGGGGGAGGGGGCTGCTTACAAGAAAGGGATTTGGGGGCGTGGGGCGTGTGAATCCTGGGCTGAAGATGAGCAGGACTGAGAGGAACTGCAGGAATGGAAGGAACCCAGCGGGGCTCCGTTTGCTCACACACTGAACCTCCTGGCCACCACCTGGGCTTTGCCACTCACACGGCGCTCACACAGCGAGCCCGGCCTCCCATCCTTCCTGAACAGCCACAGCCACCGCGGGAGTGGCTAGGGATCTGTGAGCCAGCTGGATCTGGTGGGCATGAGGGGGCCAGGAAGGGGTGGGTAGGGTGCTGGCACTCCCCCACCCCATTTTAGAGTGCGTCCCCTTTACCTGTGCTCTGGTGCACTGGGCCCTTCCGACCCACAGGCTATTGTCCTGGGACAGAAGGGCAATTAGCGAATCAATGGACGATGCTTCTGTTTACGCTTCTATTACCAAAGCTAATTATTCCTTGTTTACATAAAAGGTTTGGCCTCTAATTGGGGCCAAGTGGCGGCGGTTTGCATTTCAAACCCGACCTTGCGGGTGTGTCAGTCTCACCGCCTTCCGGTGCCCCCCCTCGGGCCAGGGAGCGCTTAATCAAACAGCCTGGCGTCTGGACGCGCTGCCCGAAAGCGAGACTCACCTTCTGATGGCTCTTGCCCGCTTGGGACATTAGCCAGCGAAAACAGGTCTTTGAGCTTATTCCCCTTTCACATCTGGGTTTAACGTTCTAGGTCACCGTTGTGTGTCCTAGACTGTCTTCCTCCCTGCATGGCAAAAGGGCAGATTTGGTGGCGGGGCAGGAGGAGGTGTGGAGGGCAGGCAGGATGCCAAGGTCTGGGAACCTGGCGACAGCCAGGCGGTCTCCAGGGAGAAGGCCCACGCTAGCCCACCGGCCGGGGGTCGCGCACCAGGAGTTGGGGGAACCCGGCTCGGGGCCCCACGCTTGCCCTCGACGGCAGGGCAGGCGAGGAGTCGGCCCGCTCCGGGCGCGCATCTGCGGGGGGCCGGGAACCGACTC